TAAAAAAAACGCGTCGCAAGGGGGGGGGGGGGAGGGCTAGAGGATGCCACATCAATGACTTCCCTTTGGTTCTCGCTCTCCTGTTTCTTTTTATTTCTTTTTAAAAGTTTATTGCTTCCATGAGTGCATGAGAGAGAGAGAGACTCCCTCCCAACAGGGTCTTGACACCATGATCTGCCTACAGCCTCAGCCCAGCCCAGCCCAGCCCAGGAGTGTGAGCGTGCCCTGCCCTGCAGGCTCAGGGAGGTCCCCACATACGCCCAGAACTCTGTGTGCCTGGCCTCGCACAGCACTGCATTTTACACTGCGCCACTACCCTGTCCCTGCTGGTTTCCTCTTGACCTTAGATGGCTTCACCCATTCCTCCAGGGACAGCCCAAGAACCAGTCATTCTAAGGGAAGCCCAGAAAGCCAAGACAAACAGCAGACAAACGAAAAGCAGGAACAGTGGCCAGTGGGTGGTGCCGGTGCATAGTTCAAAGGGCCGTGAAGGCAGGTGAGGAGCTGGTCAGGCTGGGAAGCATTTCACATCTCAGAGCCAGGCGGTATTTCCCCTCTTTCAAGGAGTACTGTCCCTTTCTTCTCTTTCATCAACAAACACATAAGACTCCTGTTCTATAAGCCAGTGACACGTACCAATACTACCCTACCCTGTCCCTAACTCACACACCATCCCTTCCAGCCACCCAGCCCTGCTCATTCCAACCTCAAGGTCCCCTTTCCTGGCACCTGTCCCTCTTCTACTCAGGTGCCTTGAAGTCTGCTGGGCACAAAACCTTCAGGAAGCTCCCCTGGGGCATCACTGCCGATACCGGTGCTGCCTTACTTCTAACTGCACCACGGAAACAATCCACTGCAACTCCTCGAACTCAATACTCCCTCCATGAGCAGGGCAATACGCTGCAACCTGAGCCCTCCTCAACAGTCCCAGACGACGACCCCTGAACAGACACCTTTCTGGAAACAAAGCCAAGCACACTGACTCTCATGTGACAGCCCAGAAAGTACGTTCCTAAATAGCTGGCAGAGAGAAACGGGTGTGGGAAAGCTCCAGGGTTTGAAAGGGACGGTGTAGACCCTCCAAACACGGGGAAACGTCTTTCAGCGATTTCTCTCCCTGCACTATCAATGACCAGGGCACAGGCAGCCCACGATCACTTTCGAATGCAGGGGCAGAACAGGGCAGAGGCAGAGGCAGGACAGGAGTTGGATGCCAGGAGCCAGGGAAAATGCCCAAGCCAGGGAGAGCAGGGCACACCTGCAGAACGCCAGAAAATCTGACCACCAAGGGAGATCGAAGGGGAAACCCTTCTGATTAGTCACTGGAAAAGTCTGGGGGCTAGAGATCAGGGTCACATAGTCACATCCATAAAACTACTTGTCACAGCCTTGTTTTCCACACCAGGAACTGAGGTTCAGGATAAGTCAGATCAGCCCTAGACTGGAGTCTGGGAACCTGACAGTTCACTGATTGGTGCGGCGTGCCGAGCCAACACCCTGCAAACAACATGGGGAAGGCAAACACCTGCTTTCTCCTGGGAGTCTGGGATCTGTGGATGTGTGCACATGCTAGGTGGATGTGTGCACATGACCAGCCCCAGTGAAAACTCGGGGCACTGAGTCTCTAAAGGGCTTCCCCAGGCAGAAACACTGCACACGGGGGAATGCATGCTTGTTGCCAGGTTCCCTGTGACTGGGAGAGTGGGGGTGGAGTACGAGAGAAAGCCTGCACACCGGGACACCGGGACTTAGCCTGCATCTTTCCTCCCTTGAAGTTGGCTGTGTTTCCTCACCACACTGTTATGACAAATCTAACCACTGAGAACTCCTAGGAAGGGAATGACTGGAGCCAGTTGGTGGCCAAAGAGGAAAGAGGCAGGTGTGTGTGTGTGTGCATCTGGTGCCTAACCCCACTTACCACCCATGCCGATCTGCTGCCGCTGCTGATTCAACTGGGGAAAGTCCAGAGCTCTCTACCCAGGCAGGTCCCTAAAGCCAAAGTCAGGCAAGGTCTAGGTTCCTGGGAGGCAAGGGGACTTGGGCGGTAGGATCTGGATCTGAAGACCAGTGGGTAGTCACCCTCCTCTTGCCTCAGGCCCCGTGGTGTGATGTTTCCACCAAGCCTTTTTGTACACCATCTTGCAGTAATGTCGACTTAACTATGACTGGCACCACCTGAATAGCCACAGGAATTTTTCCTCTGAACAAGGAAAGCAGCTTACCTCCGGGAGAAGGTTTGGAGATCTTCTATGGTACGGACGACACATCCATTTCACCTGCCATGACGACAGTCACTAAGAGTTACATTCAAAGGGATGCTGAGGCTGTGGTTCCTTGAAAGGTTGCGGTGTTCGGCCAGGGACCTGGAGAGGGAACGGGGTAGCAGGAAGGCCGTGTAACGCCTGCTTCCAGAAACTCCTCACTGCTATTCTGCCCTGCCACCAAACCCACAGGCTGGAGAGGAAAAAACCCTTCTGCAGTGGCCACACATGGCCAACCCTGATGGCAGAATGGGGTCACTTGTTGAATTTTTTTCTTAGCTGCCAAAGGGCACATGCACTTGACAGAGAGGGAAAGGGGAAAGCACCCTTCAATGGAGCTGGTCAAACCACAATCCCTTCTTCCTCTATTTCTCTATCCTGTCAGGATTTGGGGCATGCACACAAATGCATAAGGCATGTCTTTCAAACCACAGAGACCAGGACTCAAACTGTAGCCGGCTCTGTGGAAGTGGGGTCCAGGTCACCGAGCTAGCCCTTCGAAGGGGAGGTAAACACTAAATCAGCTCCCCCACCCCTTCGGACAGGTCCTCACAGGATTCTCCCTGCCACTCCACAATGCAAAGAACCCTTTCCTTACAATGAAGTGACAACCCCCCGCCCGCCCCCTTCTTGTTTCCCATTAATCCTACACTGACAGAACAGAGCAAGACACAACACTCAGACCGCGCCCTCGAGATCACAGCAAAAGAGCTGGGAGACGAATAAAGCAGCCACTTCCAAGGGCCTGGTCAGTGCTGAGGGGTGGCTAAGGGTGTGGAAGGAGAGATGGGAGGCAGAGAAAGCTCACAGGAGGGTGGTGGGCCTGGTCCTGGAGCCACAGCAGGCCCACCTACTCCTGGAGGCCGGGCCCTGCCACCATGTCCTTCCCTCATGTCTCACGGTAAGTGCCCTGGGCCAAGAGTGACTCAATAACCAGACGATGCCAAGCACCAGGAGACATCTACAGGGCGGTAGGACGGAGTGTGGGAAAGCTTCAGGGTTCGAAAGGGACAGGGTGGACCCTCCAAACACGGGGAAACACTTTCAGCAAGTCCTCTCCCTGCACTATCAATGACCAGGGCACAGGCAGCCCAGGGTCACTTTCGAATGCAGGGCAGAAAAGGTGAGAGGGAAGCTGAGAAGAGGTCCCTGCCAGCCCCCCCTGGGAAATGGGCTGGATAGGAACAGACCTGCAGACAGGGCAGTGACCAGAGTTATAGTGAAAGATGACCAAAGCTGCTCTGATTCTCACAGGCCATCTGCCACTCCCTGCCAGGGGTTGAAGGGAGGGCAATGTGGACAGAAATATTGAGAATCCTCGGGCTCTGAGAGAATCTGAGTGGGAGCAATCCTGAGCATCTGGCAGAATACCCACTGCGGCTCACAGAAGACCATGTGGCTAGTCACTGGACGCAAACCCAGGTTTCCTCTAAAATGCAGCCCACTGTCCACCCCAACACCTGGCCCTCCTCGGCCTCTCAGGGCCCTGACCGAGCTCTGGAAGCACCTTCTATGCAGCTGCCCCACTCAGGAGAGGCCAGACCTTTCCCTGGGAAGCAAAGTTGGGAGCAGAGGGAAGGAAGCACCTTCGCCGTGTTCTCACACCCAGCTCTGAGACACCTAAATACCTCGCAGCCTGCAGAGAACTTAATCTAGAGAATCAGGCAGGACATCACTTACCTGGGAGCTTGCAATCCATGCTCTCCCTGAGGACACCCCTCATGGAACAGCAGTCATGTGACACTCCTGCAGGGGACAAGCAGCCAGCCCACGCCGGCCCCTCATGACATTGCTAACAGCACAGCCAGGAAACAGGACAACACCAGGGAAATCAGGGTTTCAGGAGGTGGCTGCAGCGATAGGCCATCTGCTGTGCTCAGGTCACGCCAGAGTCCATCTGGAAGGGACAAGAAAGAATCCTGTGCACGAGAAAAGCCTTGCAACTTTTCCCATATTATCAATGCCCAGGACACGGGCAACCTGTGATCACTTCGTGTGGGGACAGAAAAAGACATGGGGCGTGCTAAAACTGGAGACCTGTGTCAGAGCCTGAAAAGTGGCCCCAGGCTCTAAAAGACTGGGTTCGAGCAGTTCTAATACTTAGTATCCGACAGTATTTCCACTGAGGCTCACAGGAGACCGCTCACGTGGTCACTAGACGCCTCAGTGTACTCCTGTTTTCTAGATGAGGGCACCAAGGACAAAGGAGGTCCCCAAACCAGGAGGTAGCAGGGGAGTGACAAGCGCATTTCGTACCAAAATCCTTCCCGCTTTTTTAAAGAGATTGTTGCTATAAGGCACCAGCACTTGCTAGAGACAGAGAAAGAGACGAGTTGAGATAAAGTGAGAAACCACCCCCCACAGAGGATGGCCACACAGCAATCCCTTCTCGTCTCCTCCCAGGCTCTTGGGCACGCATGCACACGCACCCAGCATGTCAAGACATTGGTTTGGGAAGTGGTCTGCCATGTGGGAGTCCAGACCTTCAACCACCTAACCTGGTGGCCCCAACCCCCCCACTTTTAATTCAAACATCCCGCTGCCTGCATACCAAGGAATGGAAGGAACTGCCTGAAGCCAGGCACTGGGCAAAACACTGCCCTTCAGGTCACAGCAGAGACAGGCAAAAAGACGACAGCTGCCATAGGGTGTGCCTAGTACAGAGGAGCTGGGGAGAAAAGGGTGACCCAGCTGCGGCTCCAACCCCACCTCCCCGGAGGCAGGGCCTCACCCTCCCCTGCGCTTGCTACAACATCACAGAGACCACCAATGGGCCAGGCGTTGAAAGGTACTGGACAACCGGCTGGGCCTACTTCTTGTCCAGGGAGTACAACGGCGACTCCAATCAACCACAAAAGTCGGATCTTGATGTAAAGTACAAAAGGCTTTTATTTCTAGCGCGCTAGGACTCCACTCTCGGTCATGCAAGACACAACAATGAGTGAAGTCCCGGTCATAGGGGCGTCTAGGTTATATAGACAGAAGTCAGTGGGGTGAGGGGACGGAAGAATGGGGAAGTAAGAGAAGAGACTTTTTTTTAGGGCACGTTTGTGGCGACCCTGCTTTTGCTTGCTCAAGCGGGTTAAAAACTGTTTTTGCAGATGTTGCAACTGGGTCAGGTCAAATTTGCAGAAGTGTTTGATTGGTTTTCCGGGTGAGGCAAGGGGTGAGCAGGCCGGGAAGGATTCTTTTTATTTTACAGCGTTAAGAGGGGCTCAACACGCCAGATGCCAGGCACCAGCTGGCAGGAGGTGGATGGTGTAGGAAAGCTCCAGGGTTCGGAAGGGACAGGGTGGACGCTCCAAACACGGGGAAACGCTTTCAACAAGTCCTCTTCCTGCACTATCAAAGACCAGGGCACCAGCAAGCCAGGATCACTTTCGGATGCAGGCGCAGGAAAGGGCAGCGGGGTCAGAAGAGACCCACGTGGGCAAGTCGGGTCAGTTTCCTCCGACTGCGAGGAGGACAGAGCACGCGCCCCGCAGTGCACTCACCTTGGCGTCCTGATGGCTGGTTCATGCGGACACAGAGCGGATGGCGTGGGAATTGCGGGATGTCTGGAGATTTCGGGAGATGACCCTGAACGCCGCCACGCGACAAACAACCCCTCCGCTCAGTCAGCGCCGGCGGAAAGGCCGCTGAAAGCGCGCGCTGCGGCCTAGAGCGGCGCTTCCGCGAGGCGGAACCCGCTCGCGCAGCCTCCAGCTCCCCCTGCCGGAGTGGAGTTCGACTTCTCACTCCAGAGGGCTAGGGGTGATTTTCCAAAGCCATCTGAGGTTTGGGAAGTAAACTTGCCTCACTTGCTTTGCTTTTCTGTTTTATCTGAAGCTGTTCCTTGGTCCCTGTAAAAACAGCCAGTCTTCCCTGATAGGAGCTCTTCCAAGATGAGCTCGCGCGTTATGTTTAGTTTAGAGTTCTTTTTGCAAACGCCCAGTAGGCACTCTGGTTCACCTTAGTACTCGAAGTGCCTACTTGAGTGGCTGGCACAGTTAAGTGAATAAATGATATCTACCCATATACTTTCTTGGACATCGCCAGCCTGAGATGTCTGAGTCATGGCCTGAGACTGGAATGTAAGGGCCACATGATCCCAGGGGTTGGGCAGGGGATGAAGCTTCATTCTTAGAATAGCTGGAATTGGGGAATGGAGGGAGTTCTTGAAGCAGAGACCTGATCAGTTTGCACCTGAGGGACCTGATTGGCTGTGCAGTGGCAGTGACAACAGACAAAGGTCCTGTGTTCCTGACGGCAGACTGGAGAGATGGTGAATTAATTTTTTTGATTTTTTAAAATTTTATTTTAATTTACGTTTAATCACATTTGTCTTGACAGTGTACAACATTGCTTTTTCCAACACGAATACCATGCATATCTGTCAAGACAAAGATATTAGTGTATACATTATCATCAGCAAATAACTTCATTTTTTTGTCAGTTAAATGTACTTTTTTTCTTCCCCTATTGCCCTCCCTACCTCCCTTCCTCTATTACCCACCTCGTATTACCCCATCTTTCCTATCTTTAGTATCTACTCTTGCCCTCCCTGCTACTGTACCTTCCAAACTTTCCGTTTCTGCTATAGAGTGCAGACAATCAATACATATTGAGTGGGGACATACAAAGTCTGTCTTTCACAGTCTGGCTAGCTTCACTTAGCATTAAATCTTCCATATTGATCCACTTTGTATCAAATGTCAAGGTCTCATTGTTTTTTGGACTGAGTAGTACTCCAAATAGTACATACGCCACATTTTTTCAATCCAACCTGTATCTTTGAATTTGTTAAGGCTTGTTTTGTGCCTTCCCATATGGTCAGTCTTCGAAAGTGTATTTTGTGGTAGCTGGGTGAAATACTCTGTAGATGTCTGTCAAATCCATCCCATGTATGGTATCATTTAGATCTTTTATCTCTGTGTTTGTTTTTGGTCTAGATGATCTGTCCAGAGGAGTCAGTGAGATGCTGAGATCTCCTACAATTATTGTGTTGCAGTCTGTCTCTCCCTTGAGATCTAACAGTGTCTCTTTGATGTATTTAGGTGCTCCAGTGTTGGGTGCACATATATTTACAAGTTCTATATTTTCTTGGTGTGAAGTTCTTTTTAGTACTATATCATGTCCTTCTTTTTCTCTTCTTACATCTTTCATCTTAAAGTCCATTTTGTCTGATACCAGTATCGCTACTCCAGCCTTTATTTTTTTACGGTAACTGCTGGTCCCCAATGTTTAGGTTTTCTAAAAGAAAACATTATTTTACAGTTTTTGCAGTTCCCGAGAAAACTGGTCCACATTAAGCCAGTCTTGAAGGAATAAGCTGAAGGGACCAGCAGTTAGCGTGACAGCTATGTCGCTAGACTCCCATGTAGTCGACCATGGTTTGAATCCCGGACCCGGTGGCTTAAAACTCATGCCGGCGCGTGTGCGTGCGTATCCAAGATCCTGAGAGGAGAATGGAGGAGAATGGATTGCAGCGTGGCCACCCCCCCTGGGAGTGATTTCGCACTTTCTGTCTCTCTGTCTCTCTATCTGGCAAGCACACGCGCCCTATAGCAAAAAAACACTAAAAAGAAGAAGAAGAAAAAAAAAAAAGAGAGAGAGAAAAGAAATAAGCTGAAGGTTATAGACCCTATAACAATAGCTTTGTTCTGTTTCTAAAATAGAAATATTGGGACCAGCAGTTGGCATAATGGCTATGTTGCTGGACTCCCATGTAGCCGACCACGGTTTATGTCCCAGACCCGGTGGTTTAAACTCATGCCAGACACGTGTGCGTGCGTGCCCAAGATCCTGAGAGGAGAATGGAGGAGAAGGGATTGCGGCGTGGCCATCCCCACTGGGGGGTGATTTCTCGCTTTCTGTTTCTCTGTCTCTGTCTTTCTGGCGAGCACATGCGCCCTATAGCAAAAAACCCTCCAAAAAACAGAGACAGAGATATTACGAAACTCAACTCCAGTGCTTCTTTTCCTATGCTTGAGCAGGGATGCTCTGCCGCAGGGTGTCAAATGCTTTTTGGCTGCTTAATATAAAATGTGAATGATTCTTTTATGGGTTTGGCTTCAGGAGAAGACCCATTAATTATGAATCATGTTTACTGGGACATACTTAATTAACAGACGATAATTAATGTATTGTATTGTATCTAAGGGTATTATATAAGGTTTTCACTGCATCTTTCCATTTTTTTAAATAATATTGCAATTGGGTAGAGGAAGACTATTCAAAAAGCCTAGCCTTTTAGATCTGGGAAAATTTATAGTGAGTCTTTTAAAACACATTTAAACGGGACCAGCAGTTGGTGTAATGGCTATGTCGCTGGACTCCCATGTAGTCGACCACAGTTCAAGTCCTAGACCCGGTGGCTAAAACTCAGGCCAGGAACATGTGCGTGCATGCCCAAGATCCGGAGAGGAGAATGGAGGAGAAGGGATTGCGGCATGGCCTTCACACACCCCCAACCCCCGGGGATGATTTGTCAGTTTCTGTCTTTCTCTCTCTCTCTATCTTTCTGGCAAGCGCACGTGCCCTATAGCAAAAACCTCTCAAAAAAAAAATTTAAAAACCACACACACACACACACACACATTTAAACAATCAGAAGTTTAATCCCAGCAAGGAACTATGAAGGAAGGATGAAAATTGCAAAGGAAGCTTTATAGTCAATGAAAGTACAGTACTTTGAATTGCCCCTAAGTTGTAGCAACAAATGAAAAGATACACATAGACAATACTGCAGTTGATCAAAAGACAAATAAAATATTCCAACTCTTATTCTCTGAGAGTTATAAAAATCAGTATTTTGGCTAAGCTATTTGTTTTAATTATTTATTTATTTTTATTTATTCATTCATTTATTTTAATTTGACCAGAGACAGACAGAGAGAGAGAAAGTGAGAAAGCAAGCTGCCAGGTCACGGACTCAAAATGTGGTCAGCCATGTAGGAGTGTCCAGTGCCTTAACCACTACACCACCTGCTGGTCCCCCAGCTCAGCTATTTTTAAAAGAATTATTTATTTAATTTTATTTATTCATTCGTTTCTTTTCATTTGACCAGAGACTGACACAGAGAGCGAGGGAGGAAGAGGGAAAGTGAGAAAGCAGGGCACCATGTTCTGGATGCGAATCATAGTCAGCCATCTGGGGGTGTCCAGTGCCTTAACCTCCATGCCACCTGCTGGTCCCCATTGGCTAAGTTATTAATATAAACATGTTTATAATACAATTATTTGCATAACTCTAGTAATGCTAGTGGTGGTTGTAAGATCAGAATAGGTTAAAAAAAGAACACTAGAAACATAAAACTACTTAGCCCCATTATTTACCTGTAGAACATGTTCATTTATACTTACATTTCGACATTTACTGTCATCACTGCTCTAACCAAAGTATAAGGCAAAACCACTTACGAATTGGAGAACTTGTTTGTTTCTCAGTTTGTGGAAATGTCCTTAATTTGTTGCTGTAGCAAACAAAGTCAACTCTGATTGCTACGCAAAGAAACAAGATAATCTGCTTTGCAATAAATGTTTCCAGTTCAACTGCATACAGGCAACATGCTAAATATGAAAAAATTACTAACTGAACTACAGGTATTAAGTACTGAAAAAAGTTAACAGTTTATTATCATTTATTTTCTTTAACCCTCTAGGAAGTTTGCAGCCATCAGCCGTTCCAGTGCAATTTCAGGTGCAACTGGGAATTCAGGAATCTCGACAGAGCTCTTAGCTTAACGAACCTTGTGTTAAAATGCATACTTTTGATCGCACATGTGACAGGATTTCTCTAAAATTGACTTCATTGGTTTCATTCTCAGCCAACTGACCTGGAAAACTCGACATGGCTTTTGTTGTTCCTGATGTTAGTGCATGTTCTCTTTTTACAATAAATTTGTGACCATCAGAAGATAGCAATTTGACATACATGGCATCAGGGCCTTCACAGCCACCGTAAGTTTTCTCCTTTCCAACCACTTTGTTCTTATGAACTTTTACTTTGTTTCCATAGGAACTTAAGTAGTTTTCTATAAAGATCTAAGTTTGGGGAGACATAACTGAGTTTGAACACTTGAACATCTCTATCATGATTGAGCTGCATTCTGGAATATGATTTGGGCAGCTAGGAGCCTGTGTTGGAGAGCAGTGGGCTGAGAATGGATTTGTCAGCCCTGTAGTCACCACAGCGGAGTCCCAGCATACCACCATACCCCTAATCCAGGGCCATCCCTCCCACCCCAGCTGCCTAACCCCATGGGTTCCAGGGGAGCTGGAGGAATTACTTCCACTGGGACACCAAAGTGTATTAATAGTGCAGACTTAGAAATTAAAGAAAGGGAATTATTAATTACATTTTTTAGGGAGATTTTTACTGTAGGATACGTGTGCTCACCGGAGAGACAGAGAGAGACAGAAAGACAAAAAGTGAGAAATCCCACCCCCCCCACCCCACCCAGGGGGATGGCCATGCGGCAATCCCTTTTCTTCCATTCTCCTATTGGGATTTTGAGCATGTCTCGAGTGAGTTTAAGCCGCCAGGTCTGGGACTCAAACCACGGTCGACTATGTGGGAGTCCAATGATGTAACCATTATGCCATCTGCTGGTCCCATTAATTACATTTCTTAGGACAAAACAGGGCTGTGAGTCTCACGCTTTGCT